CCCCCCCCTCTCCCTCCCCGAAGCTACCAGACATCGATATGACGAGGAACTCCGTCAGTTATCAACAAAGCGAACAACCTCTCGTGGACGCATTGAAATTTGCGCGTTACCCATCCGATATACCAAATAATGATTATTCGTTCGTGAAGAGCTGTTGCAGTTATACTTTCCTCTCCATCGCTTTCTCTGTTAGAACAAGATTTGCATTTTTTATATTTGTGATTCCAGGAAGATGTACCGATTTTGCGGCGTGAATGTACTGGTGATGCTTCCGAGATTGCCTTGCTGAAATACTCCGAACTGACTTTGGGCAGTGTGGCCAGTTTTCGAGCGCGTAATCGAAAAGTCGCTGAAATACCGTTCAATTCCACCAACAAATATCAGGTCATTGAGCGGAAATCACTTTTTATCAGTGCCAGCGATAGGAAATAGTGTCTTCCAATGATACTAGCAGTGATTTCATTTGATAAAAAACATTATTTGTGGAGTGACTGTGATAATATTACATGATACCGGTAATGAATAATTTTTCAAATGCCAACGGTATTAATCGATCCTTTAGAGTGATAGTGGTACGTGAAACGGCTGCTAATTTGCCACTAATTAGTCATGCCATTTCCTGTTTCATTTCGTAGTTATTTTGGTCAGCGCCTAGCGGTCGATCTTTTTTCCTGTCTTGAAGTTCTTGGTTCCTGAAGGGATTATTGAGGATAGTGATAATGAATTTTTGAGGTAATACCGATCACATCTTTGGCTGGTTGTGGATGATGTTTTCAAATGATATAAAATTTGCAAAGTGAAGTTTTTATGGAACAGTGTAGGAAACGTATTTCAAAGATTGTTAAAAAATTAACATTCGCAGCATTTTAGGTTTCCATTCACGAAACCGATGACAACGATAAATCGTACTTGCTGGTAATGAAAGGTGCTCCGGAACGAATTCTGGATCGATGCACTACGATTATGCTGAACGGAGAGGTGGTACCACTGGACCATAATCGCAGAAAACGCTTCGAGGAAGCATATTTGCAGCTGGGTGGTATGGGTGAGCGCGTCCTGGGATTTTGTGACTACCGATTGGATCCTCAGAAATATCCCAAAGGTTCCATTTTGTGTTGTATTTGGGGTGTGTATGTGTATATGTATGTAATGTATGTGAATATCTGTGTGTATTTTTGTGTGTTTGTCAAATTACCTCGGACGAGGTTGTTCTAAATTTGAGGTTGACAATTCCGGCAAACATGGGCTCATTTATAATGACATTTTTGATTTTCGTTGCTTTTTTTCTAATTGCTGCAGGCTGTTTGTATCTGTTTTTTTTTT